TGCAGGTTTGCTGGTGAAAGTGGCAGTGGTCTGATGCAGAGGGAGTATTGTGTGTTGGTATGCTGCTTCTTCTGGCCTCTTAGCAGAGGAGTTAGTTTGTCATAATTGGACTGCTGGGTGAGGTAGTCTTGGACTGCTGGTTTGAATCTTGGACTGCTGGGCATGTTTTGGTCTGCAGGTTGTAGAATCGATGGCAAAGTGGGAAACACAGTCCAAGATTCAAACCCAAGGATGATGGAAGTTTGACTTATCAGGAAGGTTTCTGCTGGGTTGAATTGTAAGTGTCCAAGAGTCTTCTACTGCTGGTTGCTCTGGTTGTCTCCTCTGCTGCGGCTATGAGGTTGGTTGATCAGAGAGGCTGGTGTATAGGATTAGATTGTTTGCTTGATTTGTTCTAGGTGTGGCCAATGCTTTTCTGGGTGAGGTAGTCTTTGTTGTTTGTGGTTGGTTCCTCACCAACTCTTGTGGTGGTGCTAGCATATGATTTTGCGGCCCTGTCGGTGCCAACCTAGTTGGGATTGATTGGGTTCGCTATGATGCTCTCTGCACTCCTCCTCCTTGCTTTTTTTGATGTATTTGTTTTTTTCTATTTCATCAATAAAATCCTTTTTCTTTGCTGCTCAAAAAAAAAAAAATGTTAGTTTCTCTCAATCTCACTGTTTTACTTTATGATCTTTTTCATACTATATCACTATCCTCCATATTTTAACGTACTTTATTTTACAAGTCGCATTTTAAGTTCACAATAATAATTCAAATTATTCATTTTATAAATCTCTTAATAAAAATTATCTACACAAAAATTCAATTTCATTAGATATCATTAAACATGTAAATAAAATATATTTTACTGTGTGAGTCCAAAATAAGACCTATAAAATAAAAAGCAGTGCTTCTTAAACCCCAGTGGGGGGTGATCCCCAGCACCCCCACATACACGTGGAGGGCAGTGAGAGGAAGACCCCAAAAACAAAAAAAACAAAAAAAAATTTCAACCAATCAAAAATTAGTGGTGGTGGTGGGGTCACCCCCACTGGGGTCTAAGTCATTTTTCTAAAATAAAGGATAAATTATAAATACACCCTCTGAGGTTTGCTTAAAGTTCAGATTGCACATGTAATTTAAAAAATTACAAATACCCCCTTGTTAAAAAAATTTATTTAAAAAAATTAACTAAAAAAAAGAAATTCATAATTACTCTCCTATACAATGATAAAATTACCTAAATTATTAATTGATACATATTTACAACATCATTAAAAACTGTTAATTGACTTGATGATTTATTAATAAAATGGGCGATTTATTATGAAAATAGAAATCTCATGGGATGAAATGTAATTTTTAGAACTACAGAGAACAATTTATATTTTAATCAAATCCTAGGTTGTATTTATAATTTATCCTAAAATAAATATGATGAAATATGAAAAAGAATAATTCTACACATTCTTATAATCTTACTAAAAAGATAATTGGTCAAATGCAATTGATTATCAAAATAATAATAATAATATTTAAATCTCCAATAATATTTAGACAGAGATATTTTTAGGACCGGCTCCTCTCCACTGGAGAGGAGTGTTGGGCATTGGTGGACCTTGATTTGGGCCCATGATGATAATTCAAATCGTTCAATGTATAGAATCGGTCGAGTATATTATTTTTTGTAAAAAATCACGCTGATTAGATATCAATAACTACTTAATCATATCACATTTTCAAATATAATTTTCAAAGTAAATTGCGACATAAATGTGATCGGATCAAGTAATTATCAATATCTAACTACTGTAATTTTTTACAGCAATTGTGTATTCGACGAATTTTACACATTAAACAGTTTTAATTATCGGCATGGGCCCAAATTAAGGCCCACTAATGCCCAACACTCCTCACCAACTAGAGAGGAGTCATGTCCATACTTCTAATAAAATTGTTAGCAAGATCATAAATAAATATAATATTGATCGATGAAAGATGCTAATGTCGAGCAAAGCCATTCCCTTACCCATAAGACTAATGGATCCCACATAATATAAGAGAGAATTTTCAACCGTCTAACTTCATATTGTATTTTAAATGCTAAATACACTTATTAGTCCTTATGATTTTTTCACGATTGCATTTGAGTTCTCCTATTTCTAATTTCATCAATTTAAATTTTATATTTTCAATTGGATTTCAATGTAATTTATTCATCAGTTGTCGTTAGTACTTTGAATAGAGAAAATAGTTTGTACCAAATTACACTACAACATATATAGTTTTTAGAGATCAAATGTTTTGGTTTTTAAAAGTAAAAATTTTGTTGCAAAAAATATTTATAGACAAATTTTCATCGTCATGAGAATAGTCGCTAAAATGTGGTATTGAAAAGTCAAAAACAAGACTTTTAGGGACAAAATGATTTGGCATCAAAATGGTTTCTTTTTTTAGACAAAAAATTTGGACCCAAAAAGATAATAATCTATCACTAATGTCTAATTTTCATTGCTAAAAATATAATAACGACACTTATTTGGTGCCAAAAAAATAATTTTGTCCGTAAATTTTAGTCTCTAAAACCTTAATTTTTTTGTAGTGTTAGAGGATAAAAGTGAAATTTAAAATAAAATCAATTAAAAACTATAAAGATCATTGATGTAATTTATTTATTTTTATTTCTTAGATAAGAATTGCTAAAATGTCCACATGAATTGCATGTTGTTGTTATTTATTTATTTATTTTAATCTAAAATGTTATCGTGCATGTTGTTGTTATTTATTTATTTATTTTAATCTAAAATGTTATCGTGATGGTGGAACCGTATTGAAAGACAATTGAAAGCGTGGGTTTTAAATTAATAAAATTAAAATTATAAATTCAAAATAAAACCTCACTCAAGCTAAAAGGACCAATTCTGTAATTTATCTATTCTTTTTATTTAGAAATCCAATATTAATTTGTGAGTAAATCCTGCCATCTTTGTTCGTTGATTATCTTCTCTTTCAACTACAACCACTTTTAAGTGTGTGAATAATATGGGTGTATTTGGTAACGTTTACGTTTTCAGTTTATGTTTATAAAAATTTTATAAACTGGTTTTTGTTTATTTTTTGTTTATTTTTAGAAAAACATAAACTACAAATGCGTTTGGTAATTGACAAAATGTTTAAAAAATTTTAAAAATATAAAAAGAAGTGAGAAATGACAAGTGGTGGCAAGTGGCGGCGGAAGACGGTGGTGAAAAGTGGTGACGGTGGGTGGTGGTTAGCTGGTGGTGGTGGGTGGTGGCGGGTGAGTGGTGGTGGTGGTGGCGGGTGTTGGGTGGTGGTGGCAGGTGGGTGGCGGATGACGGGTGGTGGTGGCGGGTAGGTAGCGGGTAGTGGTAGTGGGTGGGTGGGTGACGGTGGTGGGGGGTAGCGAGTGGGGGGTGGTGGCGGTGGCAGGGGGGGGTGGGTGGTGGTGGCAGGTGGGTGGTGACGGGTGGTGGCGGGTGGGTGGTGAGTGTGTGGCAGGTGGTGGTGGGGGGTGGGTGGTGGTGGCAGAAGACGGTGGTGGAAAATGGTGACGGGTGGTGGCTAGTGTTGGGTGGTAAAAAAAAAAAAACTCAAACTCAAAACGGAAAAATATTTTTTGTATTTTCATTTTTTGGCCAAATTTATAAACTGAGACCACTAATTTATAAATCAAAAATTTTACTAAACAAGTTTTTATCTGAGTTTTTTAAATTTTTGTAAATATAAACAGAAAACAGAAAACGTAAGTATTACCAAACGACACTTATATAAAATGTGGTTAGTCTAAATATGTAAATCTTATATTTAAAAATTGTAATGACCTCACTTAAAATGATAAATTCTACTATTCTCAACTAATCAAAATGTGTGTGAATAAAATTGAACTCCCAATTTATCATTTAAGTGGACTTTGATACCAAATTGTTTGGTTTTTGAATAAAAGTTTTACTAATATAATTCTAAGGATTGTCCATAAATACCATAAAAGATTAAATCATTTGAAAAGTGAGGGCTCTACTTCTTACTCTCAGTTTGTTTGGGTAGAAAATATTTTTAAATGAAAAATACTTTTTATGTTTGGTAATGATAGTGGTGAAACGGAGGTGGAAGTGGACGGGGTGGCATCGTGGTGGGGCGGCGGTAGCAATGATAGTGATGATGGTGGTGGTGTAGTGCTGGAGGCAAGATTGACAATAATAGTGTGGTGATATTGGTAAGACTTTAGTTCAGAAAATGTTTTTTATATTTTAAAAGTAGAAAATATTTTTCGCCCATATAAGGTTATTTTTTTTGTTAACCATAAAAAATATTTTTTGTTGATTTTCGTTTTTCATTGTATCAAACACTAGAAAATATAAAAAAATATTTTTTCAAAAATATTTTTCGTCCAAATAAACGGAACGTAAATATAAAGATTGACAATTTATTTCCTATTATCAAGCTTTATTGTGTTATTTAGGTTGATTATTGGACTAACGGATTGAGAGTTTCTTTTTTATTATGAAACTCACACTTTTAAACCCACTGTTTCACGTACAATAATATGGTGAGAGAATTGGATCTTATGTTATTAAGTGTATAACAAATTAATAGTTAACACATAATATCACATTATTATGAATGCATTTATAAATTATTTATTTATTTATTTATTTATTTATCTCATACATTTTAAAGAGGTATTGGACTTGGCGTTGAGGTTATGTCTTTATTATATTATGATTATCCGATTGTAACACTTTATATTATAAATACTTCAATCGATTGGAAGAAGAAAAGAAAAACAAACAAACAAACAAATAAACAAAAAAATCACTGCTTACTCACAAAGTTAGTGGACCTCAGGCTTACCAAGCATACATACTGTGGTTTATTTGGTATTGCCTGGAATTATTCATTTTTCACACCATTTTTGATCTTTTACCATAAACAATCGTCACATGATTTTCTGTAGAATTTTATAGTCTATTAACCAAATTAACTGATCTTTTTTCAAGGTAAAAATTCAACGCAAACTCTTGCACTTAAGCTAACAGACTGCCTCATAAAAAACATTTTCCATCTTGATAACCTGGACATCACAAACATAATCGAAGAGGCACCAAAACTACTGTTTGCGGCCGCGTATTCGGGAAATACAGAGTTCTTGATTAGGCTTCTGCAAAGTTTTCCGGACCTCATATGGACATCCGATCAAGAAAATCAAACCATATTCCATGTCGCGGTTCGAAAGCGGGATGAGAAAATCTTCAAGCTGCTACACGAGATTGGCTCGGCTGGAAAAGTGATAGCTACCAAAAGGGACATGGATGACAATAACATGCTGCACTTAGCAGCTAACTTTGCACCTCCATGTAACATATCAGGAGCTGCCCTTCAGATGCAAAATGAGATATTATGGTTCAAGGTATATACTCCCTCCCTCTATCTATCTATCTATATATATATATATATTTATACTAGCAGCAGATCCATGTGCAATTCAAATAAATAAAAATAAAATAAAAACTCGTTTTATATGGTGTTCCACTCAAGTATAAGAGTCTTCTTTACCAAATTTAGAAATTTGAAGAAAAAGAAATTAAATTCATAACTACCCAGGTAGCTGGCAAAAAAAAAAAAAAACTGAATGTAGTTATTGGGGTATACTCAGGGCTTCTCTTTATAATAATAGTATACAAAATGAAAAAATAATACTGAATAATGGCACAACTGCTGCTGCAAGGGCTCTTATGGGCATTTTTGGGAAAAAAAATTATCTGTGACATAATTACCAACTCATGAAATTGTGAAATGTATGATTGGATTTGAAACGTGAAAGATTAAGATTGTGAAATGTATGTTTGGATTCAGAAATTGAAAGAAAAAAAAAACCGAAAAGACCTCTTGTGGCTTGTGGTTCTTGTGGGTATTTTTGGGGAAAAAAAGATTAACACTGACTGTGGTAGGGGCGGAGGAAGGGGGGGTCAGGGGTTCCTGCCCTGTTACTTTCCTAGGATTGTTAGGATATAGATATGATTTAAATTTTTTTTGTTTTTGTTTTTGTTTTTTCTTTTTTGGATCAATAAAAAAAATTTGCCTGACATATTGTGGCGGGGGGGGGGGGGGGGGGGTTGGGTGTCATCAAAGCAAAGCTTTTTGAAAAATTTAAAAATTTCCTAGATGTTGATTTGTAATTATGTATCAATTTTAAACAATATATAACAATCCTAATCAAACAATCAAGACAAATCGACACAACGAGTTTACGTGGAAAAATCACAATTGGACACCTCCAATTGTGATAAAAAACCACGGGCAACAGTCACAAAACAATCCACTAAGAAGATATAAAGGAATTACACAGGTATACTCTCAATTACCTAGCGAATCCACGCCCGAATTGAACCAACCTCTATGTGCCTCTTCCAACCCCGTCTTCACCTCAGAATTGTCTTGACGATGAGCCACTGCGGAATCCACCAAAGCTTCAGGCTCGAATTCTTTAGAATCCATCGAAGAACAACTTTCTCTTTTGAGTAGAATAAACAAACAAACATTTGATGTATGCTTCTTAAATCATGAGTTGAATACTCAATGAAAACATCAAAGAAAACTAGCAAAAAATCTCCAGATATAAACCTTAGAATCCAAAAAGAAGATCTGGGGGACTTGTCCAAGTTTTGGGAGAAAACCAACTACCTATAGAAAACCAAAGTAATCCTAGTTTTGGAAGAAAACCAATTCCTTATAGAAATCCAAGAATCTGTGTTCGCGCGGTCCGCTCGAGCGTGGGAATTTCCGCTCGAGCGAAGGCTTCAAAATTGTGTGATTCATATAGGCTTCACACGCTCGAGCGTCAGTTTCCACGCTCGAGCGTCGAATCACACCATCCAGTACTTTTTCAGGCGAAATAGAGATGTTGTGAGCTTGCAATCCCCGCTCGAGCGGGTCGACCAAAATTGGAAAATCTGGAAAACTTGATCCTGTTACAACCTGGGTTTTGATCCATGGAAATTGACAAAGGCACGATTCGGGTTGGATTCGCATCTAATAAACTCATAGCCTCACTGAAATAAAAGGTACGAAAATGAATACAACTGAAAGGAGTTTTGTCAAACGGGGTTGCCAAGAATAAAACCTAACAATCTCTCCCTTTGGCAATGCCGTCACAAAACACACCTAACAAATAAAATCCTAAACACCCCAACCCATTACAGCCAACAAAAGCCAACTTCTTTCTCAAGGTCATAATCTGCAAAACAGTTATTAGTACCACAATCTCCAAAACAACTATTAGTCCCACAAGAGTATATGAAAAAGCAATAGACATATGACATGATTATCTTGAAACACGGGATGGAAAACATGAATAGATGAAAACTAAGACTCATGAAAAACAACTCTCAATCAACAAAAGCAAGATCATAAACCAACCCAAGTCAAGATGAACCAAACTCTCCCTCACTAAAAGCAACCACAAACACTGAAAACAGTGAACAAGAAGAAAACGACAAAAATAATATGGTAGAGCAAGCAAGAAATTTCAGATTAGTACCTTAAAACACACAAGACTATCCAAGAAGCACAATTACTAGTAAACACAATGTGCACAGTTTGTAGAAGATTCCTCATGAAAGAAAGTGATGTATTATATGAAAAGCATAGATCCCATGAGAAAAGTGTGTGTGTGACTCTTGGAGTTCGACAAACACTAGATTCAATCCTAGTAGTGATCTGAAAGTTGGACCTCTAGCAAAAGAATCTAAGCACAACACAGGAAAGTCAAACCACTAGGAATCAAGGGGTATTTGGTGAGTAAAGGCGGAGGCTCCCCCTCAATTAATGAATCTTTTCTTCTTCTTTTTCTTCTTTTTTTTTTTTTTTGCATATTTTTTCTTCTTCTCTTTCTCTTTCTCTTTCTTTTTCTTTTTCTTTTGCACACTCATTGGCGGCTGACACGCTCAAGAGTATGGAAACCGAACCAAAGAAGCATGGATATAATAAGGATGGCCTGGTTGGTGTCTCTGAGGTAGCCTTTTCCTCATGGCTAGACTACAAAGAATAGAGGGGAAAGCCGTGAAGGTGCAAAAAGATGGAAGATGGTTAAGAGACTCAACATCACCTATGATATGCTAGTATAGGTCAATTCCTCTAAAAAAGCAAAAGATCAATGACAGAAATCCATAGAGAAAAAATAATCACTAAGGCGGAAGACTCCAAAATTTGCTAATCCAAGAGTGTGTACAGAATGAGACATACTAATAAAAAAACACACACTCCAAAATGAGTAATGACCACAGAAAGCACACATATATTAACATGTAATGGATATTCTCATCAATTCCAATATGCACCAAGGACCACTCAAAAATTTCAAGCTTGCAAAACCATATTAAGAAAATCTTTTTGGGATTTTTTTTTTTCAAAAATAAAGCAAGACAAAAAAAATGAACAAGCACACATGTAATGACAAAAAAAACACACAGAAATCCAAAAACTAAAATGACAAGACAAATTAACACAAGTCAAGTTTTCTCACCCAAACTGCTTTAGTACGAACAAAGTTATGAGAATTGTAGTTCTTTTGTGGTGTCTTGACGTTGTGGTTCCTTTCCCCTGCAATGGAAACCCGTCTCGACTTGGCTTCCAACTTTCAATTTTTAGGTCTAGGCAAATACACTCTCCCATGCAACTTATAACAATAAGGGCGAATATGACCATGCACACCACAATGATGACAAATAAAAACAGGGTGTACCTTCTTTTCTTTTACGTTACAAACTCTAAGAAGTTTGAGAAGTCCATCCTTATGTTGAATTTTTTGTTCTCCCTTTCCTTGAGTTCTTGTATCATGAGATGTTGAAGCACTCTATTTTTGCCCTTTCTTACCACCAAAGCCAATGCCACTCTTGTCTGAACAAATTTGTTAAGACCCAATAATATTGTTCAAAGTCTTTGATCCTTTGTTCCAAAGACCAATGGTAGCCATAGCACACTTAAGTTCTTCCTCTTTCTTGATCATTAGTTCTTCCAAAGCAACTTGAGACATCTCGAGAGTTTCAATTTTTTCTTCATATGTTGCATATATTTGCTGAAGCTCATTCCTCTCTGTCTCTCAAGTCAAGAGTTTTGCACAAAGAGCTTGTCGATCATTAGAAATCTTGATGGCATCAAGCCTAGCCTCGGAAGTCTCCTCCTTTAGTTTGACATTCTCATTTTCACATGCTGTGAGTTTCATAGTGAGTTTGTCATTCAATTTGGATAACTTATGAGATTCCTTATACAACTTTTCATAAGCTTGCTCAAGCTCTTCATCATCACTTCCCGAGGATTCATCATCAGTGGTATTGTCAACCGGGCTCTTCGAATACTCTGTTTGTCCTTCAGTTTCAGAAGCCACCATGAAAGTAAGAAATTGTTTATGTCCCTCTTCGCCTTGATCTTCGTTGTCACTTTCATCTTCATCAGATTCTGATTCATCATCCCAAGTGATGGCCAAGGCTTTCTTCTTCTTCAAACGAGTGGGGCATTCTGAAGCAAAGTGGCCAAATTCTTGGCATTCATAGCATTGGATTCTTTCAGAGTTCCCTTGTATCTTTCCTTTCTCCTTCTTGACTATAGGATTAACTTTGAGTTTATCTTTGCCTTTAGATTTATGAGTAGATTTCAAAAGTTTAAGATTCTTTTTCAGAAAAGATTTTTTAAATTGTTTTATAAAAGCATCTGTAATCTTGGAATCAATCTCATAATCCTCATCAGAATCCTCTCCAACTCTATGAGCACTACTAAAAGCAATATCTTTTTGTTTCTTTTTGAAATTCCTATGTGCCTCATAAGTTTGGAGATTTCCAACCAACTGATCCAGCTTGAGGTTGGCAACATCTTGAGCCTCCTCAATAGTCGTAACTTTTGGTTGGAACCGATCGGGTAAGGATCTCAAAATTTTTCCCACAACTTTGGATTCTGGTATTTTTTTCACCTAAATTGAAACTAGAATTTACAATGTCACTCAACTTCGCATAAAATTCATCAAATGTCTCACTATCTTTTATTGAAAGGTTTTCGAAACTAGACGTGAGCCTTTGAAGTTTTGAGCGTTTAACAGAAGGAGTGCCCTCATGAATAGTTTGTAAGATATCCCAAGCCTCTTTTGCGACTTCACAATTACAAATACGACTAAACTCTTCAGGTGTGACAGCGCAAAAGAGAGAATTGATAGCTTTACTATTCCAGCTACTATTTTGGTAATCAATTGTGTCCCACTTTTCAATTGGTTTGGGGAATGTTATTCCATCAACGATAATTGTTGGTTCGGTCCACCCATTCATGACAGATTGCCAAACTTTTTCATCTATTGATTTCAAAAACGATCTCATCTGAGCTTTCCAAAATGAATAATTGGATCCGTCAAGTAGGGGTGGTCGAACCATAGAATTTTCCTCACGAATTGAGTCCATTATCACAAATCAAACAAGATCTCTCTCTAACAGATTTGTAAAACAAAAAAAATAGAGCGACCTGCTCTGATACCAATTGAAAAATCTAGAAATCTCCTAGATGTTGATTTGTGATTATGTATCAATTTTAAGCAATATATAACAATCCCAATCAAACAATCAAGACAAATCGACACAACGATTTTACGTGGAAAAACCACAATTGGACACTTCCAATTGTGATAAAAAACCACGGGCAACAGCCACAAAACAATACACTAAAAAGATATAAAGGAATTACACAGGTATACTCTCAATTACCTAGCGAATCCACGACCGAATTGAACCAACCTCTATGTGCCTCTTCCAACCCCGTCTTCACCTCGGAATTGTCTTGACAATGAGCCACTCCGGAATCCACCAAAGCTTCAAGCTCGAATTCTTCAGAATCCACCGAAGAACAACTTTCTCTTTTGAGTAGAATAAACAAACAAACCTTTGATGTATGCTTCTTAAATCATGAGTTGAATACTCAATGAAAACATCAAAGAAAACTAGCAAAAAATCCTCAGATATAAACCTTAGAATTCAAAAAGAAGACCTGGAGGACTTGTCCAAGTTTTGGGAGAAAACCAATTACTTATAGAAAACCAAAGTAATCCTAGTTTTGGAAGAAAACCAATTCCTTATAGAAATCCAAGAATCTGTGTTCGCGCGGTCCGCTCGAGCGTGGGAATTTCCGCTCGAGCGGAGGCTTCAAAATTGTGTGATTCATATAGGTTTCACGCTCGAGCGGAGGTTTCCACGCTCGAGCGTCGAATCACACCATCCAGCACTTTTTTAGGCGAAACAGAGATACTGTGAGCTTGCAATCCCCGCTCGAGCGGGACGACCAAAATTGAAAAATCTGGAAAACTTGATACTATTACAACCTCGGTTTTGATCCAGGAAAATTGACAAAGGCACGATTCGGGTTGAATTCGCATCTAATAAACTCATAGCCTCACTGAAATAAAAGGTGCGAAAACAAATACAACTGAAAAGAGTTTTGTCAAACGGAATTGACAAGAATAAAACCTAACACTTTCAAACCCTGACTAGGTTGGCATCTAGAAACAAACACAATCACATGATATGGGTGTGATTTATATGATGCATATGTTGCTTAATTGCATTTGGCCCCGCCAAACTTTTTTTTTTTTTTTTAACTTATATACTATATTTTGTAGACGCAAGCACAATCACATGATATGGGTGTGATTTATATGATGCATGTGTTGCTTAACTGCATTTGACCCCACCAAACGTTTTTTTTTTTTACTTATATACTATATTTTGTAGAATAGCTATGAGTTTTTGTAATGTTAATACAAATTATTATAATTATGTTATGAATGGATGCACCAAAAAAAAAAAAAGTTTTAGTTGCAAATTATTAAGATTATATAATGAACTATTATGATTATGTAATGAATATTAAAATATTGCATACTCTTATGGTGAAAACACTTATTAACTATTATAGTTTTGTTACTAATTATTGTAGTGCAGTTTTGAAAGGATATACGGTATGCATTTTTAAGAGCAGCACTGATTCAATGCTCTAAATTTGCACTACTAATGCCAGCTCTAATGAGCTGGCAGTGCAAAAAAAAAAAAAAAAAAAAAAAAAAAAAAAAAAAAAAAAAAAACAAACAAACAAACAAACAAACAAACAGAGGCCAAACTATCACATTAGTGGTGGGTCTACGTCGGCGCCACGTCATTAGTACTTCATTAGTGATATTCAATTAGTGGTCTCAAGCATTTTTGTTTTAAGAGTGTGTACCATAGTTTTGCTTGTTTGATTTCCTAAAATAAAATTCAAGTATTTTCATCTTTCATTTAATTTTAAAATTTTGTGTACATCGTATGATGTGTAATTCATTACCATTCATGTACTATATAAAGTAGGTGATATTACTTCTCATGTACATTTTTCTAGCGGTAAATCACTGAAATTGATGTTCATGGAATATATTTTTGTAATTATTTTTTAGTTTGGTTTTAAGTAATTTGTTGATTTTAGTTGTCTAAATTGAACTTGATTTGATTGCTTAGACTTAATTAATACTTAACTTTTAGACCCTCCAATGTTGTAATCTTGGCTCCGCCCCTAATGGTATGACATTTATTTAATGTTTTAAAGCAATTAAATCTAAGAAAACTGTAACAGCTTAAAGAGTTGCTTTTCAAGTCTATCTAATCCTGTAGATGTTAAAAATAATATTTTTTTTTTAAGATTAAAAAAAAATCATCAAAAAAAAAAATGCTGAAAAAGCAATTTCCAACTTGTTTAATTTGTGATTTTTTTTTTCTTCTATCTTCTTTATTTATTATTTTAAATTTTTCAGAGAGAGCATGCATCTTCAATTAAAGACTTTCTATTTGACATTTCATATCATGATTCATGACTACATGGTAGGAGGTGGAGAAGAATGTGCAACCTTTATATATAGAAATGAAAAATTCAGATGGCAAAACTCCGCAAGATTTATTCACTGAAAACCACAAAGAGCTGATCAAGGAAGCAAAACAATGGATGAAAGACATAGCCAATTCATCCATCATTTTCGCAACACTAATTGCCACCGTAATTTTCACAGCAGCCTTCACTGTACCGAGCGATACCAACAATAAATCTGATGTCCCAATTTCCCTCAAAAAAAGGCTCTTTGGGGTGCTTTCAATCTCAGAAGGAGTGGCACTATCTTTCTCAACAATCTCAATTCTGATGTTCTTGTCCATCCTCTCATCGCGCTATGCAGAAAGCGACTTTTTGAGGTCGCTTCCGCTCAAGCTGGTGCTGGGAATGATGACTCTGTTCATCTCGATGGCGGCGATGATGGTAGCATTTTGCACAACATTCTTTTTATATTATCAGCATGGTTTAATATGGATCAATGTTGTTTTCACCTTAATTGTTCCTGTGCTTGTTATGTATGTGTTGCTGAAATGTCCCCTTTTGTTGGACATTATTCGGTCAACTCACCGCACTCGCACTTTGTTTCGGCCTTGTAAACGTTTGTTTGATTCCCATGCTTGATGCCATGTTTGAATATGTGCAAAATAGTTGCCTATAAACTTCTCTTGTCTCATTGCTTTAATGAATAAAAATGTCTACATATTTATTTTGAATTTTACTTTAGAAGTGAGTGTGTATGACAGGTCTTATATTTAAATTAAATCTAAATAAGATGCTAACATTTTTTAGTAAAATTTTGAATAAATTTTTTAAAATTTGTACAGGAGTGACCATGAACAAAGTCAGGGAGTGACTAGGGTGGCCATGCCATGACCCCTAAACTTTTTGAAATTATAAATTAACTTTATATGTCATGAATAATTTTATATTATATATAGAATAACTTTAATATTAACCTCTTACATCAATGTTATTAATCCTGCACCGATATGGTCCAGGATATACTATTTTGATCAAAAATAGAAATACAAATACATTTGGTTCAAATTTTTTGAACTCAATTTTTAGAAAAATATTAGAGTTTTTGTTTGGTTAAGTCCAAAAATCAAAAAAAAATTCTGAAAATCCAATTTTTCAAACCATTTGGAATAAAGAAATTATGTCTTCAAACAATGGCCATTTTTTAACTCCAACAACCAAATAATGGCCATTTTTTTAAAAAAAAAATTTCAAAAACAAATTCTAAAAATTAACTAAACAAAATGGAACCAAGTGACTAGTTCCATCCCAGTGAAAATCTCGGATTGTTTTGCCTAGATTTAAAAATGGGGAAATAACAATTCAAATGAAGTTTGAAAAAAATAAAATAAAAATAGAACAGTGTGAAGTTTACAAATTTTAATAATTAAAATGTTAATTTATTTTTATAAAATTATAATTATTTTGGAAAGATTCTTCTATGTTTCCCTTAAAAAAATTTGCACTATTCCAAGCAGTTTTAGAAGACAAAGTACAATTTTGTTCCGGACGAGGATCCTTTTAATCTAGATTTTGGACTGGAAGGTGTTATTTGGGTCTATGAGAATTGTCACGCGTTTCGTTTCAATAATTTAAACCGTTCTTTTTGTCAGGTATTTATTGTATTTCATCCACACAAAAATTAGGTCAATCTGATAATAGTAACTTATTAAATTTATTATTTTTGTCACTAAAAAAATGCATAATTTTATTTTTAAAAATACAATTGTTGTCTATTTTTTTGTAAAAAACTTGATAAATTGAACAAGTTACAGTTATCGGATCGACTTGACAAAATGAATAGTTTAAATTATTAAAATAGGATCTGTGATAGGCCCCACAGGCTCAAACAACACCCTCTAGTCCAAAATCTGATATAGGTAGACTTATAAGCTTACTAGCAATCGGGCACACACGATGCATGTGCAAATTCGTAAGATAAATATTAGTTTCAAACAGTGTATTAAAAAAGAACTGAATATATAAATTTAAAAATATTTATAATTGAATATAAAAATAATTTTGACTAAATTCAATATTCTTAACACTTATACAGTCAAAGAAATTTAATAAACATGAACGGAAAAAATTGAATATGAAAATAATTAAATACAAGTTCAAAACTCTTAAAACATTTACAATCAAAGAGATTTGATAAACATGAAAAATTAAAAAACTAAAAAAAAAATTAAAAAGTCAAAGAAAATGCAAAAATATATGATTGTGTATATATATATATATACATATCCTATAAAAGTCAAAGATAATGTAAAAGTATATGAGTGTGTTTACAAAAATTTTCTGAATATCTATTTATTTTTCCTCCTTCTTCTTCTTCTTCTTTTATTTTTTTGTTTCTAAAATAAGTAACTTTCAAAATATATATGAGTGTGTACATATATCCTATCAAATATTGAAATTTTTAAAAAAAAATTCCGAATATCTATTTCTTCCTCATTCTTTTTTCTAAAATAAGTAAACTTTTAAAATATATTATTATTATTATTATTATTATTATTGTTATTATTATTTGTGTTTCAAAACATATTTAAGAACATCCTCATTCTTTTTTATGTGTGCAATTTTTATTTTTATTTTTTTGAAAAGTTACTATTTTTTTGAAAACAGTTTAAAAATTTTAAAAACAGTTTGCCTATGTTTTAGAGAAAGAAAGGAAACAATTAAAAACACAATGAATAAAAAATATTATTCTCATTTTTGTTTCTTTTTCTGACTTCTTTTTTAACCTATTAAATAAATGTGTAAAAAAAAAACAAAGAACTTTTCTTCTACACAAAGTCGTAAAAACTTTTTTTTTTTTAATATTTGAAATGTATACAAAAAACTTTATATAAAAAAATAAAAATTATACTCAGAATAATATATATAATTTAACTTCAAGTTTGTATCGTCAAATCCACATCTACACTACAGAATCATAAATAAATCACGGATTTTAAGTGTAATGTGTGTTATTTAATCACCAATTTTTTTATTTTGTCAAAGTATGATCTTTGAGAATGTGATTGTTAAGATTCATTTTCAATCACACATTTTAACCGTCATTAAAAGATAATTTCATCACGTGTTTTGGCTGTGATAATAAATATTTAGATTACAAATTTTAAGTATAATTAATAATCAATAAAACCTGAGATTGAATTTAAATAATCTATGATTAATAATGAGATAAGATTATAGTTACATGTATTTCTCATCACGGTTAGTGCATGTGATGGAAAAAAAAAAAAAAGGATTCGACCACAAAATATGACTATCAATCACAACATATAAACCGTGATTAAAATCTAGACATAACTAATATCTAAAATATAATCAATATTAATTGTACAAAAATTTTCTTTGAATCACAACATTGACCATGGCAAGCTGGTTAAAAGTCAGCTTTTGGCTTTTAATCTATTTTGGGTCACATCACTTCTCATATTTCTTACCCACTAAAAGATAAAAAGCCAAAAAAAATCAAAAAATTAACTTTTAACCAACTTCCCAAAACACTTATATGAATGGCTAATAACACAGCAGGAAAATTAGCTTTTACCGGCGTTTCAAAAACGTCTCTAAATCTATCAAAAATGCCGGCAAAACTTATACCGACGTTTTAAATTACGTCGAGGACGCGGCCGTCGCCGTAACTTAGCGACGTTTGATAAACGCCGTACAAGATCTTTTACGGCGTTTTTTTAAACGCCAGCATAGGAGCTACCGACCCACAAATAACGTCATACTAACGTATGGTGGCGTTTTTATTAAAACGTCGCTAAAAGCTATTTTTTTCAAAATAAAAAAAATCTGAACCTAATCAGAATTTTTTCCAAATATAAATTCCTTCCTCCAAAAAAAATATAAAAAAAAACCTATAACAAACAAAAAATAGAAGAAAAATAATCAGGCACATAAACTAAAAATAAGCCAAACAAGTTTAATTTCTCTTCCAGATGGCTACAATTTTACATTTGACAAACAATAGAAGAAAAATTGTAACATTTCCTGCCTATTTATATTTACCACAAACCATACCCCATAAAAAAATGTTAATGCATACCCCAGAAAAAATGTTAATGCATACATACCAACATGACATTAAGATACAGGACTTTTGAATAAAAACCAATCAAATGAATCAACTTAGCCCATAACTCGAAATATGGCAAAAAAACAAACATCGAAGACAATGAAGCAAGATCAGAACATCAGCACCACTAATAGAATTTAAAGAGCTTGAATAAGCTTCTCCGTCAGAGATTTTGGAAGTCCCATAACAAAATCAATTGCCCCTACCTGCAGGAGAAAAGGAATAGATGCGCATGTTGTGAGAAATCAACCCCATCAAATGATGCAAGTAACCAACTCACAAACAAATTCAATGAGAGGAATTCTCAATCATCTACATAATTACTCGGATACAAATTGGATGAGAGGAATAACAAATTGGATGACATGCTTACCACAGTGTCAACAAAGGGCAATATCAAAGGATGTTCAAGCATCAAACCTCCAGCAACATTGAGCATAACTCGCCGCATAGAGTAGGCATATTATATAAAAAATTACAAATAAAATCCATATATTTTTTGTCTATTTTTACCGGGCTATCAATAACCTCATTTTGTATGTCGTGGAAATAAACCTACACCAAACACCAATAACTAATTTTCCAAAGTCAATGTAACTTAAAAGGTAGAAATATTATGTTTCCAAATTCTTGAAAGTAATACATAACAAGAAAATTTATTATTATTATTATTATTATTATTATTATTATTATTATTTTAAATTGTTGTTGAACCATTTATTTGTTTTTCAAGTGTTTCATAATCTCTAACTGTCAAATATGTATGCCATAGCCAAAGGTATGCATATAAGACAGTTTTTATGGAGCAAACTGGTATAAATGCTGTATTTGAAAATATAAAACTATATATTATAGGCATTCCTAATGTCAATTTGTCTTTGTCAATCTACAATAAGAGTTTAAGGAAAACAAGAAGGAAAAAGAATAGAGAGAGGGAGGGATACGGATCAGTTAAGTTCTAATTTACAGAAACTAGAAAAGACGGCTAAAAAAAAAAAAAAGGATTCGACCACAAAATATGACTATCAATCACAACATATAAACCGTGATTAAAATCTAGACATAACTAATATCTAAAATATAATCAATATTAATTGTACAAAAATTTTCTTTGAATCACAACATTGACCATGGCAAGCTGGTTAAAAGTCAGCTTTTGGCTTTTAATCTATTTTGGGTCACATCACTTCTCATATTTCTTACCCACTAAAAGATAAAAAGCCAAAAAAAATCAAAAAATTAACTTTTAACCAACTTCCCAAAACACTTATATGAATGGCTAATAATCTCATATATTTCATAAATCAAAGTCGAATGTTGGAAAAATATATACAATGAAAGTTAAGGAATAAAATGAATTTTTACTATAATTACACAATAAAAATCTAATTAAAAAAATAAAAAACTTAAATAAAAATTCTTGAATGTTTTCTCTCCTATGACCATATTTTGCATCTCTCCAAACAATTTTTGACCTAAATAAAAATTAACATAAACTAGTTCATAGGCCGCTAGAAGTATAAGAACAAACTTATTCATTTTTTGTTATTTAAAGACAAAAATAAAAAATTAATGGAT